GAATAGAATAGCTATTATCTGTCCCAACTGGTGACAGAAATCCTTTGAGGGCTCCATCAACAGGCATCTCAATATATACAGATAAATACAAAACAAAACCCAAACAAGCCACAAAAAAGAAAAGGAATATTTAAAACAATTTCAGTCTCTTAAAAGGAAAAGAGTTCTTATTTTAAAGACTTTAAAGTGGATATAGCAAATGATATGAACGATATCTTGTTGATGTTTCTCTGGGCCACAGGCCCTTTATACCTTCTGTCTGATCAGGGTGGGCTTCAGAGCTCTGCGGCAGTTCAGGAAGATGGGTTTGTGGTAATCCAGTGCTTAACAATATGGGACAGTTTGGTTTCATTTTTGACCGTGAGGAAATTTTAACAGGATAAAATGTTGAAGGTGAGGATGGATTTATTAATTATTTATAAACCAGAGTTAAAATCTTCTTCATAACAACAGGAAATCAAAGTTTTCTCAGCATAGCAGTGTTGGATTTCTTTTAGTTACGAATAAATTAGTTATATAGGTATATATTCTAACAGTTAGTATTACAGTACAGTATATATTTATGTCCAAAACAGGCTTACAATAGATGTTTTTGATTCCATAATTTTCAAAAGTTATTGTAAACTTTATAGTGCGACAGGGACTTAACATGAACAACCCACATACTGTACCTCTGCTGCTCACCCCACACATGCATGTTCCTTACAAATGTGGCTCCGTTTAAGAGACATTAACAGGATTTCTAACAGTGTAASATTTATTGCCATGAAACATTGTTACAACAAATAAATAAAACACTAATTTACTAAAAGGAAATGAAGACGTAGTCATAAATGGATACAGAGTTAAAACTGTTTGTGTTGTTATTGTGACTTTGTTTAGGATTATTATTAAAAACTAATGAAGCCACAGGTCTTTATCATGAGGTCTGCAGCTAAAAGGTTAGCCAAACAAACTCAGCTCACTTCTTTAAAATATCAGCTAAAACTTATATTTGTGGTTAGACTCCAGAGGCAGAGGTTTTAATATTTACCCTCAGCACGAAGAACTTCCTGGTTTTGAACTGGTCCAGGCAGGAGTCCACGGAGACGAGGCCGCGGTGGTTGCGGGCCGCCGGGCTKTCCTCCTTCCGCTCCTCGGTGCTCCGCGCCGGGTCGGCGGCTCCCTGAGAGACCGGCGGTCCGCTGGAAGAAGAACCGAACTGACTCTGCTGCTCCTCGGCCGGAGCTCCTTCCTCCTCGTCTGCCATCATCGCGACGCTTCAGGGGGGGAAAAAAGTCACTGAAAAGTTGTTTTGTTTTGTTTGTTTTTTACTTTTGGAAACCTGCGGTCGTGTCAACCCACGTTGTTCTCCACAACTTTTAATAAACACGTTGATGTTTCGTTTCTGGTTCATGACAGAAATAAAAACACGTTTCTATGAATCATAACTTTAAGTGGAGTTAAGTAAAAAGAGAGATTATGATCAGACTTACCTGTRGTTGTGAGGAGAAGGTTCTAGGCAGGATAAAGAGACAGAAACCAGCAGGTGCGTGAAGTTTACTTCCGTGTTCCTGGTTTATCTGAGGGCGACTTCAGAGCAAACAGGACTGATTTATCTCTGAATCTGAAAATAACAGCTCTGTGTCAAACCCCACTGGAGAGAAATACTCCTTATTCTTTTGATTATAGTAAAAGTTAGTTTAGGTTAAATATAAACTGTTGAGGCAACCTGCAGGGTTACATTAGACATTTGATCTGCTTTTWCTTCAGCTATAAGAAAATGAATCTGTAAAATTACTTTTGGCTATTTTGTTAAAAAAAATTCACACTAGTCACCATGTTATTTATATTGATAAGCTTTCTAGAGTTTATGGGCAACCAAGTGTAAAATAAAAAATTTAAAGAGTAACTTACCCCAAAATTAACTTTTTTA